TTTTTTCGCCCGAAAATAAAAATTGCCGAAATGTTTACCATGGTCCCTAATATCATCCGGGAGTCCAATTGGGTTGGTGGAACCATCCAATTTTCCCTTTAAACGACCAATTTACCAGGTTACAACTTTTACAAATTTCATTAACTCAAGTCTACCACGAACATTTATGACAACAAATAATGATCATATATGGTTCCAAACGACATTATATGACCCTAAGATGTATTCCCTAAAATCTCCAGGCTTTTGGATACCGGGCTCCGAAACCTCCAAAATTTTTCAAAAAGCATAAATATTAGCCTTTATTTTTTGTAATTTTCAGACTTTTTTCGCCCAGAAATAATAATTGTCAAAATGTTTACCATGGTCCCTAATACGTAAGAGGCACTAAAACGGGCACGGGGACAAAAAACGGGTACGGGGACGGGGACGGAAAACGGCAAAATTAAAAATGTAAAAAACGGGTACGGTAAAAAAAAAACTAAAAATATAGAAAATTAAATTCATACATAAGTCATTATTACAAATTCAAGATTAAAGTTTTTGACAAAAGCATGTGAATAAACAAAGATCATTCTACAATAATCAACTCGTTTTCCAACTCGGGCTCATCAAGTGAGAACCCCACATCCTCCATAGAATCACATGCATCTCCACCAACATCCCACATCTTCGTGTTATCATCTCCATACTCATTGAAATTTCTTGAAGCGAGACGAAGGTTATTGTGGATGTAAATCAGATAACTTACATGTCACCGCGGCACTGCCGAGCAGATGGAGTGGTGGGTGGTCGGCTACTTCAGTCTTAAGGTTTCAAAGAGAAACTATAATGACTAATGAGTGCCCTAGCCCTGCTCCCTTAGATTCAATGAGTAAGTAGTTTTTTTTTTTTTATTTGGGCCCTTCTTTTTTTTTATTATTTTTTGAACTGGGCTTGGGCTTTGAAAGTCAGAATGTTCAATTTGCTCTTGGGGACGTCTAAAATGTGCTGAACCGGACCCGAAACGTCCCCAGATTTAGCACGGGTCGTACCCAAAATTTACAGTCGTACCAAAAATTTTGGAAACGCCCTGGGGACGTAGTTTTGCCGTCCCCGTACCGTACCCGTCCCCTAACCGTCCCCGGTACGGGAAACGGCCTAAAACTGTCGTACCCGTGCTTCCTAGCCTAATACCCTTCGGGAGTCCAATTGGGTGGGTGCAACCATCCAATTCGCTTTTAAACGACCTATTTACCGGTTTATAACTTACACCGATTTCATTAAATAAAGTCTACCGCGAACATTTATGACAACATAAAATGATCATACATGGTTCCAAACGTCATTATATGACCCCAAGATGTATTCCCTAAAATCTCAGAGTTTTTCGACATCGTGCCCCGAAACCTTCAAAATTTCTCAAAAAGCATGGATATAAGCCTTCAATTTCAGAATTTTTTGATTTTTTTTCAACCGGAAATAAATATTGCCGAAATTTTTACCATGGTCCCTTATACCCTCCGGGAGTCCAATTGGGTAGGTGGAACTACCCAATTTGCCTTTAAACGGCCAATTTACCGTTTTACAACTTGCACCAATTTCATCAAATCAAGCATAACACAAACATTTATGACAACATATAATGATCATAAATGGCTCCAAACGACATTATATGATTTCATCCCTATAATTTCAAGACATTCGACACTGGGCCCAGAATCGTCAAAAATTTCTCAAAAAACGTGGATATTAGTCTTCAATTTTGTAATTTAAACTTTTTTTCGCCCGGAAATAAAATATGCCGAAATGTTTACCATGATCCCTAATATCGTCCGGGAGTCCCATTGGATGGCTGGAACCATCCAATTTGCCTTTCAATGACCAATTTACCGGTTTACAACTTGCACCGATTTCATTAACCCAAGCCCACCACGAACATTTATGACTTTAAATAATAATCAGATATGGTTCCAAACGGCATTATATGACCCCGATATGTGTCCCCTTAAATTTCAAGACTTTTCGACAACGGGCCCCGAAATCTCCAAAATTTCTCAAAAAAACATAAATATTAGTCTTCAATTTTGGAATTTTAGACTTTTTTCGCCTGGAAATAAAAATTGCCGAAATGTTTACCATGGTCCTTAATATTCTCCGGGAGTCCAATTGGGTTGGTGGAACCATCCAACTTTCCTTCAAACGACCGATTTAACGGTTTACAACTTGCACCAATTTCATTAACTAAAGCCTACCGCGAACATTTATGACAACAAATAATGATCAGATATGGTTCAAAACCAACGTTACAAGGTAAGAGGTACGATTCGAAACGCGGTACAGAAACGGATACATGGTACGTTACCATGTATGAATCCGGTACGATGGGTACGTTGTGTTTAAAAATCTAATACTGTACTTTTTAAGTGAAATAACGTTTACTCTTTTTCAAAAAAAAAAAAAGTTAAAATTCTAAATTAATTGTCATCTATCCAATTATTTTTTATATTAGTATAATAATGTAACAATTTAACTTTACATGGAAAATTAAAAGTAGTGGAATTTTAAAAAATGATAAAGAAAATTGAAATCCCCTATATCATCACGTGACTTTCTTGGCGACTTGAGTCGCGACCACCGGCGAACTGAGTCGCGCCTGTATCGTGTTCCTGTACGAGAAAATCAGGTCGCGATTCGCAGCAACGTACCGCGAACCTTGTAACGTTGTTCCAAACGGTATTATATGACCCCAAGATGTGTCCAGTGTATGAAAAGGCGCGCAAAGGCGCAAGGCGATAGGGGGTAAGCGCTTTTTTTGGCCTGGGCGAGGCGATTTTGATTAAGCGCACCTAAGGCGCCCGAGGCGCACTTAAGGCGCACCTGAAGCAAAATTCTGCCAATTTTTTTCAAGTGTTTATATAGTGCGCCTCACTTCAATGAGGCGCACCAAGGTGCTGCATATCCCTTATCGCCTCAGCGCGCCTTGAGCTTTTTTACACATTGGATGTGTCCCCTAAAATTTCAAGACTTTTCGACACCGGGCCCCAAAACTTCCAAAAATTTTCAAATAACGTGTATATTAGCCATTAATTTTGGAGTTTTTTTTACTTTTTTAGTCCGAAAATAGAAATTGCTGAAATGTTTACCATGGTCCCTATTACATTCCGGGAGTCCAATTAGATGGGTGCAACCATCCAATTTGAACGGCCTATTTACCGGTTTATAATTTGCACCGATTTCATTAAATGAAGCCTACAACGAACATTTATGACAACATATAATGATCATATATGGTTCCAAACGTCATTATATGACCCCGAGATGTATTCCCTAAAATCTCAAAGCTTTTCGACACCGGGCCCGAAACTTTCAAAATCCTCAAAAAACGTGGATATTAGCCTTCAATTTTGGACTTTTTTTACTTTTTTTGCCCGGAATAAAAATTGCCAAAATGTTAACCATGGTCCTTAATACCCTACGGAAGTCCAATTGGTTGTGTGGAACCATCCAATTTGTTGTTAAACAACCAATTTACCGGTTTTAAACTTGCACCGATTTATCGGGTTTACAACGGCCAATTTAATTAACTTGCACCGAACCTGACTTGAACCGAAATTGACCCTAACTCAATTTAACCCATCAAAACCCGAATTTAACCCAACTTGTTACTAACCCTATCTTAATTCAACCCGACTTGTTCCTAACCCGACCCGAAATCAACCCGACTTGTTATTGACCAGACCCAAATTCAACCCGACTTGTTATTGACCCAACCCGAATTTTACCAGACCTATTACTTACCCGACCCAAAAATTCAACCCGATCTGTTACTAACCCGTCTCGATACTAACATGACTTGTTATTGACCCGACCTAAATTCAACCCAAATTGTTCCTGACCCGATTTCAAATCACTTTAAATGCAATTTAGACCACATTATTATTGTTGATCAAAGCATTTTGTCTAGGGAAACCAAGTCGGTCCAGGCACCAAAAGAAAAGAGCAACATCCTCAAATTTAAGAGTTAAATATAGTATATATTTGTTGTATGGCCAAAGGAGATAATTATCTTCCTAAATTATAAACTATAGTTCCCTAGTATATTGTCATATATATTATAATCAAAGGAAATAATTAGTTTGGTAAAAATAATAATTATCTATTTATAGTTACTTGAACCCGAATATGACCTAACTTAGCAATGACCCGACCTGATTGTAACCTGCAAATTATTGACTTGAACATAATCCGACTTGAATCCGAGAATGACCCGGCTTGGAAATGACCCAAACTGATTGTAACCCGCAAATTATTGACTTGAACCGAATCCGACTTGAACCCGAGAATGACTCGACTTGAAAATGATCCGATTATAATCCGCAAATTATTGACTTAAAACGAACCCGACTCAAACTCGAGAATGACCCGATCTGATTCTAACCCGCAAATTATTGACTTGAACCGAACCCGACTCGAATCCAAAGGTTTTGGAATTAATCCAAATTGACCCAACCCGAGTTGACCCGACCTACTCTTACCCGACCCAAACCAGACCTATTGACAGCTCTAGTTACGGTAGGCCAGTGACAACCAGTGCAAAACTTTGTCACCTCACATGACACGTGACATGACAAATATTTACAATAGTTAAGCTAACAAACAATATTACTTACTCTCATTACCAAAGGGCCAGCCTAGACTTTACATGCAATCTCATATCATTATATGCACACTATTCACTATTGTATAGCTTATAGCAATTGTTAAGCTTTAATTAAGTTTGAAAGAATTCTTAAGAGGCCATTAAAGACACTTTTCATTCTAATACTAACATCTTCTTCCAGGTAAACTAAGGATGAGGGTAAAGGCAAACCAATTCATTATTGAACATTTTCTGGATTGTGGTTCCCACTGAGGCCACTTGGGCTACTGTAAATTTCTATCAGCAATAACTTAAAGATTTTTTTTTTTGCATAACAATATTTGTAAGACTTGTTTTTTGTGAACCTTAGAGTTCGTACCTATGCTACTTTGATCACCATACTCCTCACATTCCTCTCTTTAGACTCGCTGCTACAGCTGCAGCACAAAAAAAAAAAAAAATAAAAAAATAAAAAAATTAAGCCGCATTAAAAGGCTGACCATGCAACTCATATAGAAGATATAACTGCAAGAAAAAGAAAATTAAAATGAACATACAAGATCCGAGCAATACATGCATAGGGAATGCCTGAATCAGTTTGATTGTGCAGAGAGTCTACTAAGATTGATAAATATCTGTCATAAATGAAAATATTAATGAGATTCATTTATGCTTAAAGTACCAGTAAACTTACAAGTTTGATCAAGCAGTTGTTCTCATAGCATGATTTCCATGGGCCACATTGCAAGTCTCTGGTACATATAGAAGTGTAAAGCCCACATCCATTTACAATCATGATAATCATGTGAGGAAAGCCAAAAACTTTCATACCTACAGAATGACAAGCGATAATCTACATCACAGCTTGATATCATGTAACGCCAACTCAGGCAAGAAAATAGGCAGCCTCCAATTGTTCTCGGTCACTTTGCCTCCATTTTTTTTTCACTGCTACATAGGACCAATGGCTTTACAAAGAACTAATATGCATCCAAATGAGATTATATTTAGCCTACAATTGACAGAGGTAAGAGCAACGGGCATCCTCAACCTTGTTAGTGGTGCTGCTCGTCCTGGAATCTTAGTATCAACTTGAAAGCGTGTAGGAAATAAACTGGCATACTACGAAGGAGACAGGTGCTACCAAGTACCACCCTATGACCCTACCAGATGTGCTCAAATTGTCCCAGAAAATGACTGCCTGTGTGTACATATTACAATTGAAGTCACCAAGACTACTGAAATAAGAATCAGCTTCCTAGGTATGTGAGTGGGTGGGCCATGGCAATCTGTTAAATGTAAGCTCAAATCTGCCATAGAGAGCAGCTACTCTGTAGACAAATCTCACTTTCAAAGAAGTAAGAAGAGAAAGAATTTTGTAGCCTAGTCAGATCATCAAGACTTTTTTGCTGATGCTTGCATGGGAAAGGTTGGTAGCATATTGAGCAACTTCTTATGATCTTCGTTCTTAGAAAGTAAATCTACCAATATAGAAGCAGTGAATAAATCTGGTGAAAGTTTTCTTTTCTTCATTTCTTGAAGAAGCTCCACCACCATCTTGCTCTCATTTTTCTTACAAAATCCATGCATGAGGGTATTGAATATAAAATCATTAGGGGCACAACCTTTCTCTTCCATTTCTCCAAAATAACTGTAAGCCTTTTCTAATTTGCTTTCCATGCATAACCCATGGATCATGGCTCCATAGGTTACAGTTGTCGGTTGCAAACCGACAGATGGTAATCTAGAGAACAGCTCTTTGGCAGCTTCAAAGTTCTTCGCTTTACAAAGCCCATCAATGAGGCAATTATAGGTCTTGACTTCCAGCTTAGAACCACGAGCTTCTAAAGTATTAAAAAGTTCCAATGCCTCTTGAAGGCAATCGTTTTTGCAAAGCCCATCCAAATATATGGTATAGGTAACTGAATTTGGTGCGAGGCCAAGATCTCTTATCTCACCAAATATTCTTCCAGAATCCTCAACTCTTCCACCTCTAAGAAGACCAGTTAGCAAGGTATTCATTGTTACAATTGTTGGCTTAATTCCTTTACTAACCATATCTTCATATAGCTTCATTGCTTCATCTGCGTTCCGGTTTCTAAAATATCCATTCATCAAAGTATTGTAGCTAATTACATCGCAACCATCACTACTACTTGCTAATAAGTCAAATACTTCTCTTGCACCATCAACATTACCAAGTAAACAGAGGCCATCTATAAGTGTGTTATGTGTAAACACATCAGGAAGCACACCTAGCTCCTTCATTTTCTCCAACAGTCCTTTCGCTTCTTTTGCTTTGCCAACTTTGCAAAGCACACTAATGAGCATATTGAACGTCACCACATTAGGCTGGATACGTTGGTCCAACATTTCGTTAAAAATTCCTATTGCCTCTTTCCATGTCCCAAAATGACAAAACCCATCAATCAAAGAACTATAAGCCACAACATCGGGAGAAATACCCTCGGATTTCATTTCCATGAACAATGTTTTCGCCTTATGGACAAATCCTGCTTTACAAAGACCATCAATAAGAGCAGTATAAGACACTAAACTAGGTTTAAAACCAAAACCAAGTTTCCCATTCCCCATTTCTCGATGCAACCGCAACGCGGCTTTGGCATTCCCCGTCCTACACAACCCATTGATCAAAATCCCACAAGTAGCCACATTTGGCTTACAACCCAAATGCACCATCTTCCTAAACAAACCAGCAGCTTCACCAATTTTGACCTCCAAACACAACCCTCTAACCAAAAAGTTTAATGTCATCACATTTGGCTTAAAACCCTTCTTTAAAATCAACCCTAGAACCGAAAACCCAGCACTAGTACATTTCATACTACAATAACAATTCAACACAGTATTCAAGGATATAAAATTGGGAATCAACCCAATTGAATTCAATCGTTTATAATAGCAAATAACAGGATGAAATTGCTTACTTTTAACCATAGCACCCAACAAACAATTGAAAGACGAAATTGGTGGGGTGGGGTGTAAATGAATCATATGATCAAATAAAGATTTTGCTTCTATAGTGATATTGCCTGATTTGCAAGTAGTACTTAACCATTGAAGCAATTGGGTACCTTCTTCAGATTGAGACATTGAATTTAGAGTAGTTTTTCTGGGAGTAAGTTCGGAAGGATCTACATGAAATAAAGATGAAAGCTTGTTACCCGTTATTGCAGAAGCTGCCATTGATGGTGCATCAGAAAAACGTCTTCGAATGATGAAAGCCATGAATAGCAGTTAGCAGCGCCACAATGCCCACAAACGAGCGAAAGAGGAAATGATAGTGCCAAGGGAAGTTGAAGTGTTGAACTAAAAAAAACAATGTAACCCCGATTTGGTGTTTCCTCTATTTTAAATTAATGGTAACCGTTTGACTTATACACAAGATGATATCACATTGCGAATTGTTACAAAGTTATCGCTAATCTAAAATGTAGAAGTGAGCACATTTACAAAGAAGGAAACAAAGTTGCAAATTGGCTTTGCTAATCCAGGAGTATCTAAAAAAAACCCTAATTTAGATTGTATTTGCATAATGATGCAGTAAGTGTTGTTTTGCCACATTTTATTCCTCCTTAGATTGTTTTTATTTTTTCCGGGGCTAGCCCTTATGTACATCAATAAAAATGTAAGCAACTTAGATCTTATTAGGTGCTTCGTATATACTAGTATTGTTTTAAATGTTAGTAATGTCTATCTAAAATCATCCCACCCCTTTTAAATCAAATGTCTTAATGTGTAACTATTGGTGAGTTTTCTTATGCTTAGGCGCTTAGCGTCCAATTACATGGAGCAATTTAAAATACTTTATGCAAATAAAGGTTTTTTTTTACTCCATATCATCTAATGTGAATGACTTGCTCAAATAATTTAACTCCTATTAAACAGCAAAACCGTACAAAATATTGGGAGTTTTGACTTTTGAATACTACGATAAATTCATTTTTGTTGTCAAAATAATTAATCGCAAAAAAGTTAAAGCTTGTCTTAAATTTAGAAATTAATAGATAAGTTAAATCTTGAGATAATATATCATAAATTTACTGTAAATAAATAAACAAGTTAGTTTTTAAAGAATTTAATGCTCATCTTAAAATTAGAAATTAACAAAGTAGTAAAATCTTGAAATAATAATAACTTACTCGTGATAAATAAATAAAAAAGTTAAAATTTGAAAAAATTTAATTAGAGGAAAAAAAATAATAGAAGAGAAAAGAAATAAATTTTTCGCCCTAACAAACACAACCCACTTGTCAAAATTACAAGAATTAAATTCATAGCCAAAACAAATCACAACGATTTGCGTGGCAAAGAGTGATCTCTTCCACTAATCACCCCCCTTATCTGCCATCTCAACACAGATTATGAATTTTCTCTCTCCTCAGCCCAATCATTCAGAGAAATGCAGCAAGGTAAGATCTTTTCCATAACATAATCCATCAATAAATATAGTTTTGCTTCCTATTTCTACTAATTTCGGCAATGCATCATCTTTTCTACAATGGAAACATCAACCTTCATAACTACTTACCTTAATGATATCCTTTCCTCTCAATCTGATTCTGACAATTCTAAATGTCACAAATCCTCAGATGGCTATGCAATGCTTATCGCGTCTACGGTTGGATTAATGATTGCTGCAGCTGCTGCATTATATCATCAACGCAACCTTAAAAACCAAAAACTTGTCCCTAGGATCAAGTTTGATAGCTCCAAGAGGGTGGCAAAGCTCGAGCGATTTTCCCATTATGTAGGTAATTATATCTAATTCTACCTGATACATGTTTATAGATCAATTACAAGCTAACATACATCTTATGATCTCCTGATATAAAATTTGGGACATTACATAATATGACTCATAATATAATCATGAATGTCTTTTGTGATCAATATGGGCAGCAAGGCAGTTAGGATTCCCTGACAGAAGGCTTTGTCCACAGCTCAACAGATTGGCATCTGATTATATTCAAAAGAGAGAAGGTTGGGAGGATACCGTCTACTCCTTTTTCGGTCGTGATCCAGATTGTGATTCACTCTTTATCAAGCTAGTCGAGGAATTTGAACGATGCATTCTCAGTTATTTCGCCTTTCATTGGAGTTTTGCAGAAACTTCCCTCAAACAGGTAATCCATCAAAGACCCGGCATGCAATCTAATTAGCACCCCAAAAATTTATCATGCTGAAAAGTAATGGGTAATTGAAACTTTTGCCTAAGGCCCTGCAAAAAAAAGCCATAAGTTTGTAGCAGTATTTGTACCATATTACATGACAGAATCTTATTCTAGGCTGGTATAAATTTCAGGTGATGCAAGGGCCAGAACCAGAACCGAAAAAGAAGCTCAAGAATATTTTGCTAGCTGCCTCAAGGTAAGTCAGAGAAAAACTCTTGCATTGTATAAAACATGAGAAACGAACAATATGGTTTCTTACAATGAATTAAATACTTTTACATGATACAATATGAGAAATGCGACACTAAAAGGGAAACCAATATTCATTTTCTCATGCTATGTGATGAGTTTAGGGAGAAGATAATAGAGAAGGTGACCAAAGACTTGAAGGTAGCTAGAGTATTTACCACATTGGTACAAGAAATGAAAGCAATTGGACTCGCTCAGCCAAAACCAGAGATCGATGAGTCTGAATGCACAGATGTGATGGCACCGGTAGCTTTCAAAGATAGAAGTCCAGTTCTCCTCTTTATGGGTGGTGGAATGGGAGCTGGGAAAAGTACAGTGCTTAAAGACATCCTCATTGAGTAAGGAATACATCTCTTTTATTATGCATGAAACCTGCAAAATATATTGAGAAAGATGATTTAAACAACAAGGGAATCATAGAATAACAATAAATAATTCTTTGATGAAATCAATCAAAACAGATGTCTCTGCAAAAGGAAAATTTTCAGGTTACTCCCCTGATACAAATTACTAATTTACACAAGACAGGGCCACAAGGGCTCTACTTCATTGCTTAACTCCCAATATATGTTTAACGGTCAAAAGAAATTGTTCCCTGCTGACATTTTAGGGGTTGACAATACCTGAATCTGCTTGCTGCTACACAATCTTAGCCTAATGAGTCAAGTTGAGGAAAATTACTGTTTATTGCAGCTCACTAAAATAATAACCGATATATATGATCTTGTATGACTCTTAATCTCTATCAACAATAATCTTTCAATTGAAACGAGAATCTTAATGCAATTTGGTCATGCTTAGACATTGAGTGCTACAAATATAAAAGTTCAGCTGCAAAACTAAGTACTGGAACCTCTGAAAACTAACCTCATGATCTCGATCATCCATGCAGGCCATTTTGGCAAGAAGCATCAGGGCAGGCAGTGGTCATAGAAGCAGATGCTTTCAAAGAAACAGACTTATTTTATAGAGCCCTTAGTTCACGGGGACATCACGACGCAGTCCACACAGCAGAGCTGGTAATTGTTTTCTCTTCTCCAGACATATGATCTTGCCTCAATTGCATATAGACCAATTAATATCAATAGCTATCACCATTCTAAAAACTAATACAATCGGTTAGAAAAACCTCAGTGCATATTGCAGGATTTGCAGGGGTAAGGTGCATCTTCCAGAACCTATTTGAACAGAAGTGCCTAGAGATAACAATAACTTGTGATTTAAATAACAATACACATAATTCCTAAAAAATCTAATATTATGAAGCTATTGAATCACAACTTGAGATTTTACGTATCATGTCTATATCTTGCAGGATAAAACATAGAGAGATCAAATTGCATATGCACTTCCTAAGTTACTAGGCCAGCACCATATCTTCACCATTTCCTTATTCTTGTGTACAGTATGTGACATATCATGATTGTTTGGGTCATAAGATTTTATTTCAAACAGGTTCACCAATCATCTGCAGACGCTGCAGCTTCAGTACTTGTGACAGCACTGAATGAAGGTCGGGATGTTATCATGGATGGCACCCTATCTTGGCTTCCCTTTGTAGTGCAGACAATTACTATGGCCAGGAATGTCCACCGTAAACGATATCGTATGGGACCTGGATACCATGTGGCTAAAGATGGAACTGTGACAGAAAACTACTGGGAACAAGTAGAAGATGAAGAGGAAGAACACTCATCCATTAAAAAAAGAAGGCCATACCGAATAGAGTTGGTTGGTGTTGTTTGTGATGCCTATTTAGCAGTAATTAGAGGCATAAGGTAAGCATATACTGCAATGTTCTATAAATCTGCTACCATCAATCATAGGCTCATATATGGAACTCCTACCATCAACTCATATAACACCATTCCTTCTACAAAACTGAGTTGCAAAGGATGTACTTGTATACTGTGCATAATGGCAGGCATGATACCTAGTCATATTAAGTACATTACAAACCACTGGAAACAAAGGTGAGAAAGGGAGTACAGCTCATAAAGACCTGCATTAAACCAGTCAAATATGAGACTACATTTTAGAAAAAATTTACAAAACTGAAAATATGCATGTGAATGACTTTTACAGTTCAACATTCATCCCTACAAGATTTCTCTTAACAGACATATTAGGATCTTCATACCATATTAATATATTATAGGCAGGATACTGACAAAATAAATGTTCAAATGTAGAACTAATGATTAATTTCTCATTTTACATGCAGGAGGGCCATCTTATGTGGGAGAGGTGTGAGGGTAAGTTCACAACTAAAGTCTCACAAAAGATTTGCAACAGCATTTCCAGCATATTGCCAACTAGTAGACCAGGCCAGATTATATTGCACAAATGCTTTGGAGGGTCCACCTAAGGTATTTTTTCTCACCTTCCCACTCTCTTTCTATGGTTTAGTTAACATTACTGTTGTCATTATTACAAATAACCAAAAGCATCCCCAACAAAATTCATCTAAACAAATTAGATCACCATTCAAAATTGGTAAATAAGGCACAACACAGATCAGGATTATATCTGCTCAGCCCAAAAATATATATCTGTGTTATTTTCTATTGTCTGGCTGACTGTATCTGCACATGCACTAATTACAAATTAAGATCATTCATAGAGCGAAACAGTCATGGTTACATTAGGCATAAGATCATTCCCGCATCTGAAGGAAATATTCAATTTTCTATTCAATCTTATTGTGTGTGCATGATCTGGACAAAATCAGAAATCAAAAATCACACATGCTCAAAACGATTTCACCCACACCACCCACGTCAACTTGCACACAGCCAGCCAGAATATTAAACTGTTTCTTGCGTGGCATTTTATAAAACTATTGTACTAAAGACCATTATTGTATAAAGTTGATAGGATGGAAGGACAGAGACAAAACCCTACTTGTTGATCCAGAGGAATTCAAGTGCCTAAAGATAATTTCAGAGTTGAACGAGGAAGCAGACAACATTTATGAGCTTTACAAGGACCCAAACCCAGCATGTCAAGATGGCTCTATTTGGAAAGACATAGTATCATCACCTTCAAGGTTAAATGTGCAACAGGAACTGAAATATTCAATCCAAAGAGTTGAAGGGTTGATAGATACCAAAAATAACAGGAGCAGCTTCCGGAATTTATGAGAGCTGGATGCCTGGATTCCAAAAGGATGCAAGCTGAAGTCTTCCACCATCTCGAGCTTCTTGTTCTGCAATTCTGAATTCTTCTGGAAAAACAGAGTCAAACGTCTGTATGTAGATCCAAGCACATCTACCTGCTAACAACAATATAGATGATACAGCTGCAGCATCATTTGGGGAAGTATACAGATCAATAAAGCACAAGTAGCAGTATGCTGTTTACAATGCAATTTAATTACGTTGCATCACACTGACCACCAAGCAACCAACGACACTCACGTCCTAGTGCCAACACTTACATATTTTGGTCTTTAATTCTCTATGAATTTCAGCAATTACCAATACCACTCAATGTTCATATAGCTTACCTCAAAAGACAACATTTTCCTTTGCCCTTCAATGCATTCAAGTTATACATCGCGGCTTCATTACATCTAAAATCCAGGCAGGATATGCCCAAAAAAATCTTAAATTGTCTTCTAAATTTAATATATAGTCAGAAATTAGAATGTTTTTGAGAAGTCAATTTGTAACAGTAGTCTAATACTGGGTATAAAAGTATCCTAAATTATGGTAAATAAGCAATCATGGCAAACCAATTTACATAGCTCCAACACCAAGCAAATGTACTAGAGTCAATGAGAATGAGGGTTGCAAGTCTTGCAATGAAATCCAATAATCGCTAGAACCAAGTTTCTTATGAAAAGTACCCTAAGAAACTTCAAATTTTCAAACTCATCATCCACACAGGCACACAGAAACTGATAGAAAGCACACATACTACAGCTCTCAAGCGAACAGACAATAAACCATGATTTTATTTTTCATGAACCATGAATCACATATAATATTAGGAGACAGTATTATAAAAATTGAAATTTTGAAACACGGTGCTTTGTTTAATGAGCTTCCTCTTTTTTCAGCCTTTTTCTTTTCAAAAGTAACTATAAACTTGACATGATTCCACAGGGAATTCTTGACATCAATAGATATATCAATCCCTTCATGCGTTGAATCTTCAAAAGATTAGAGGATATGACAAGCATACATATCTTCCCTTCGAAAATTTTGCTTTAATAATTTCCTAATACAGAGCATTAGGAAAGAAGAAACTAAGATCTTACACATGAAAGAAAAAACAGCAGATGAAGATCATAAAAAACTGACATTGGTGAAAAAATGCCAAGAACATTACAACAAATGTAACAAGCAGGTACTACACAATAAAGAGATAGAGATTACGCATTATAGAGGATAATTCAACTATGCAAGTATGCAGATCAGACAAGTAACAATCACAAAACAGTCAAGTGCTGACTGACAGAGCACAATACTTCTACAAAGATGGCAGAATACAATGTACAGGATGCCAAGAGTGAACCAAACCTGAACTCTAAGAAGGACCAAAAGAGCTCTTGAAATGATCAAATCAACACCCTATTATAGCTGACACGAGGAAATTCAACAAAAGGATGCAGATGCTCTTAACAAAAAAAATAGACAGGAAAGTAACTACACATATGTCTCTGTTTTACGCCATTCAAGACAAAGTCATAATGCAAGTTTTCTCTTTGGCATTCAAGTCATCACTACAATATACTGTGAGTTTGGCAAGTGTATGTTGCAAATACTGCTGAGAAAAAGAAAAAATAAGCTTATTAACCAGATCAACAATAACAAAGTCAATCTCCCTTCAGTTGTAAAGACAAGAAGGCATAATGCCACTATGCAAGTATTCCAGAGTCCAGAGCTCCTATTCTGCTCATTATCTTAGGACATCTCAGCCACCCAGTACAAATCCAAAGTGAGAATAGGCAAGTGCACATCAGATTAACTCTACTATGATATTTATACCCCCTCCCCCAGAGGACAGGTCGACAGTCACCCTTTTTCTCACATAATTTTCCTCCACAAATTATCAATCTTTATGTTTACCTGCTCCATTCATCCTAAAGCCAGCCCAATGTTTGGTTATAACACTATGATCCAAAGGAGAAGAATAAAAACAGTTTAAACTAGTTGAAAAACTGGGGATTATGTATAGAAAGTTCAACCATCGAGATTAAACATGGAAACTTCAGGTTACGCTCATTTATTCTAAAAGTACAAACAGAAATGGAAAAATAAAATATCTAAACATTAATGCAGCAGTTCATTTAAGATTATGCAATGGAAAGAAGCTACAGGAACATCATAAGTCCTCTTCAGTCTCCATTACAAGCACAATCTATTCTATATTCCCATTACTCTTCTTTGCAAGTTGTAAAGATCTGGGTCCAGAGGGAAAAAATCCAACTCAAGGAGTAGCAATTCATGCATCCACATACATAGATCACCGATACAAGTAAACCATCCTGAAATATAAATTTCTCCAAAACCTTGAGAATAGATGAGTAAAGCCATAACACAACATAACACAATCACTATTTTTCATGCTTCAAGAATTATAAACATTTTCCAACTATTAAGTTAATTTCTCAATGCAAGACAAACCCTAATAAATTGGAGCCCCCCATGGTAAACTGATAATATGATATGGCACCTCTCAACAAAAATGGTAAAACATATTGAGGCACCCATACCAACTTGTTAAATTCATACTCCGTCTTTCAAAAAGGCAACATGCCAGATAAATCATCTTTACATAAAAAAAAGTCTCCTCGTAGCTCTCCGCAAACTGTCCAGAGCCCTAAAAACCCTCATTGTGTACTCAATGGCTTCTACTCTATTCAATAACTTCGACACGGAATCCATTCCTACCATTGATCTTCCTCTCTTTAAACCTAGTTAAGGGCTGAAGAACCACAATCAAGCTCAATAAACATCACTGTGGTATTAAGGACAACTACTTCCGCTAAAAATAACAATTCCCAGGGAGGAAAGTAGATAAGCTAGATAGACTATTAGAAGGCATCAAAAAATAAGGAAAGTGAATCAGTGACGGGTGAACATTTCCAATAATTGCAAATTACAAGAAGCCTCAATCTAATATCAATCAACAGAATGCAAACCTTCAGGGTAAATGACATACTATAATACTCAAAAACTCAGACCACAAAAGTACCCCATGAGATACCGCCATTGTTCCATTGACAATGAATAAGAGAACATAATGCACAACACACAAAAACAAAGCCTCATTGTTCCACATTTTCTAACTTTCCTATGATTAAAAAAACACAAATGCACATTGTTAAGATAATTTAAATGTTTGCTCAATGTAGCTAGTTCTTCCAATGTATAACACAAACAATTTAACATCTTAACAGGTTAAGATATTTTGATTTTGATTACAATACAATTTCTAAAAGATTATAAATTAGTTAAAGAACAGGGGATTATGTATAGAAAGTTCAACCATAGAGAGTAAACATGGAAACTTCATGTTACGCGCATTTATTCTAAAATATATATATATATATATATATATATATAGATGCAGCAGTTGATTTAAGATAATGAAATGGAATGAAACTAAAAGAACATCATGAGCCCTCTCGAATCTTCATTAAAAGCACAATCTATTCCATTTTCCATTACGCTTCTTTGCAAGCTATAGTTGTAAAGATTTGGGTCCAGAAGCAAAAAAAAAATATTTACTCAAGGAGACCCAATTCACACATCTATATACATAGATCACCAATACCAGTAGATCCTGAGACATAAATTTCTCCAATACCTTGAATAATTTAGATGAGTAAAACCATAACACAATGTACCAGTCACTTGATATTATTCATTTTACATGCTTAAAAGTTGTTTAACATCCATTTCCCCAATTAAGTTAATTTTTCAATACAAGACAAACCCTAATAAATTAGAGCCCCCTGTGACCTGATACACCAATACCAAGTTACCAACTTGCTAACTTCATATACCGTATTTCAGAAGGACAACATGCTAGATAAATCATCTTGCAATACAACAACAACAAAGCCTTACTCCTAAAATGATTTGGGGTCAACTAACATAAATCATCTTGCCACGAGCATGTGTCCTTCAGTAGTACAGTCTCCCCATAACCCTCCTCAAACTATCCAGTGCCCTATAAAAACCTCATCGTGATAACTCAATGGCTTCAATTCTATCCACTAACTTCAACACAGAATCCATAGATTGATCCCCATAACATGAATCATTTAGGGTCAGCTAACATAAATCATCTTGCCACGAGCATGTATCCTTCACTAGTACAGTCTCCACATAACTCTCCTCAAACTATCCAGTGCCCTATAAAAACCTCATCGTGATAACTCAATGGCTTCAATTCTATCCATTAACTTAAACACAGAATCCATACATTGATCCCCATAACATGAACCATTTGGGGTCAGCTAACATATATCATCTTGCCACGAGCATGTATTCTTCATTAGTAGAGTCTCCCCATAACTCTCCTCAAACTATCCAGTGCCCTATAAAAGCCTCATCGTGATAACTCAATGACTTCTTTTCTATCCACTAACTTCAACACAGAATCAATACATTGATCTTCCTTCTGTCTCTTAAAACCTAGTTACTGGCTGAAGAAACACTGTCAAGATCAATAAACATCACTTGTGGGGTTAAGGACAATTACTTTCTCTAACAAACAGCTATTCCCAGGCTGGAAAGCAGAAAAGCCAGATAGACTCTTAGAAGGAATCAAAAAATAAGGAAAGTGAATCGGTAATGGTCTAATGGATGAACATTTCCAATATAATTGCAAATTATAACAAGCCTCACAATCTCATTTCAATCAATCAGCAGAATGCAGGATTAACAATGTAACATACAATAGAATGCAAACTTTCGAGTAAATAACATACTAAACTACAGAGTTATCAAAAACTCAGACCACAAAACACCCAATGAGATTCATACTCTTTCAAAGGTTCAAACACAATACCACAACTGCTCTCAAGCTGACAAATGAGTAAGAGAACACAATGCACAACACACAGAAAACAATGCCTCATTGTTCCAAGTCGAACTTTAATATGATTGAAGAAACACAAACAATACAATATACAACATCATAACAGGAACACTAATAAAGATTTTGATAACGATTTCCACAATATTAAAACACAGAAGTGCAATACTATTACACTTACATCCTTAGTGCACAATTCAATTGACTATGATTACTTCAAAGCTCATCAAACCCTCTCCCTTCGACTCAGCTCTTCGCTGAAAACCATGAAGAACAGTTACAATTCAGATACCAAGCTCAACACTTGCTTCATCATATAAACTCAATCAATGTTGAGAGAAAAGAGACATACCATCAAGCTTCAACAACATAATTTCAATCAATTGCACAATTCACAAACAAAGAGATTAGAAAGACAATCAATTGAATCTAAAATTCTTATCTTATATTAATACTCATATATTAAAACTACATCTAATTAACATCCCAGATTAAAACCATCTAAATAAATGTAAATTAAAAAGGGGAAGAAAAAAAAAAGGAACTCCAACTTCCATGTATATTATGGGCGCTAAAACTCTCTCAACATTACACCCACTAAAACATCGGAACATTTACAGAAAAACTATTCATCCCAATCAAATCCTACAAACAATCCACCACATCCCAGAAACTATCTAAATCCAACAACAAAATTCATCATTTCTTCCCTCTCTTCGGCATTGATCGCTTCACTGGCGACTTCACACTCTTCGGCTTAACACTCTTCACTGCAGCAGCCTTCTTAGCAGCAGGGGCCGCCTTCTTCGGAGCCGCCTTCTTAGCAGCAGGAGCAGCCTTCTTCGCGGGAGTCGATTTTGCTGCGGTTTTCGCAACCTTAGCCGGCTTCTCCTTTGGCTTCACAGCAGCCACTGCCTTCCTCTTAGTACCAGCAGCTTTCGGCTTCGCCGGAGCAGCAGCCGCCACTGCCTTAGGCTTAGCAGCAGGCTTAGCCTTCGCCGCCTTAGCCTTTGGCTTCGCAACAGTCTTGGACTTAGCCTCCGTTGCCTTAGGCTTAGCAGCAACAGCCTTAGCCTTAGCTTTCGGCTTCGCAGCTGCTGCTTTAGGCTTAGCAGCAGCAGTCTTCGCCTTCGGAGCAGCGGTTTTCGCCTTCACAACAGCCTTCTTCTTCTTAGCAGGAGCAGTCTCTGGTTTTGGAGCAGCAGGACGGCCAGAAGGAAGCTTGAAGGATCCCTTAACCTTCACAAGACGACCAGAAGCAACGAATTTCCTCAAATTCACAAGAAGAAGCTTCCGGAATGTCGGAGGAAGATCCTTATGCTTCTCCTCAATGAATTTCTGAATCGCCTTTTGACTCGAACCATTCCTCTCCTTCAAAGTCGTAATCGCTTCACTCATCATCTGAAATTCCAATTCAAAAACTCAAATCAGTCAATCAATGAATCAATTAACATAGAAAACCTCAAATTACAAATCACGACTACAAAATTCAATTCAACAATCAATGAATCAATCAACATTTTTCCAGAATCAATTACCTCAAAGTAAGGAGGATGAGTAGGAGTCTTCCTCGGCTTCGAAGCAGTAACCGCCTTCTTCGGCTTGACTTCCTTCGCTTTCCTCGGCTTCCCGGCGACTTCTTCAGCAGCGGTGTTCTCTTCCTTGGGAGTCTCCTCGGCTGCCGGAGCAGAAGCAACCTCTTGCTCTCCAGTTGCAGCAATTGGTTCCTCAATCGCCGCCATTTTTGCAGAAATTGAAGCTTTTTTCTAGGGTTCGAATTTTAGAGAGAGAAAGAGAAACTGTCGGAAAATGAAGGCCGACGATTAAGATCTGTTTGTGTGATGAGCGAAGAAGAACGTTAATCTGAGGGCGTTTAAATAGTCAGAAATGTACGTCAAGAAAATCCTAAAGCTCAACGCTGATTCGTCGAGAGGCCCTTCACACGGATCGCCAACCTTTTTCGAATTTTTAATTTTAGATCGTTGGATAAGATTTTATCAACGGTTGGTATTTCTTAGTGGTGTATTGTGAAGGATTGAGGAAGGATGGTGTAGGATTTTGGATTGGTGGATTAGTGAATAAGGGTTTGGAGGGTGTGTTTCTTACTCGGATTAATGTGGGTATATCTTGAGCTATGGTTGATGGAATTTTGTGAGGTTTGGTTTTTTGGGTAGGGAATTATGTGAGCTTTCATTTGAGGGGTTACTCGGGTTCTGGCGTGGTCTAGGTTGGGAGATATTTGGGTTAGAGTCAACAGTGGTCATGATGAAGGTTTTGTGTGAGTTTGTCGTGCTTGTGCTTGATTTTACAAGAATGTTTCGGTTTGAACTTGGTTTTTTTTGCTTGGATCTGTTGTAGGATAATTGAGGAGTGTTGTGAATCAAAAATCGTGGAAATCGGATTTGATTTGGGTGGTGAAATTTTTGCGAGAACACCGATGAAGATGAACACACGTAATAGAAGTGTTAGGTTGGAGAAAACATGTATGTTTTGCATCCTATTGCTATTAATGATCGAATATGTGAATTCAAAATCTATGTATCTATACTTAACATTGCCCGTTAATCTTAAAACAATATCACGAGTTTAAAAATCTATTGTAGTGCGCGTTATAATGGATTAATAGATAAATTTCCATGTATACTCTCCTATTGATGACTTTCTTCACGCGTTTAACACGAATGTGCTATCTGAGCACTTCTTTCACTTATTGTATCATCCTATAAGATAAAAAACTTGGTTATCAACATTTAACGCTTTTATGCTATTTATTTCTAAAATCTTGTACTATACGCAACACATTAATTTAATAACTTCAACTCATGCAACACAAGACTACCAATATTATCATACATATCAGTATAATGTGTTGTTGTTTTATGACTCAGTGCACTATGTTTCGATTATTATCTCGTTATATATGGTATTGCTAAGTTTAACGTAATGCAAAAATAGTTTGAATTGAAGGAAGCCTTTGTGAACAAACATGTTAGTTGTTGAACCAAGTGCAAAGTGCAATAAATTATGAACATAACTTCGAATTAATAAACAAGTAGACATGGTATTGTAAAAATATTCCTTAACATTGCTCACATTCAAAGTGTAGTGTCAATTTAACTTAGTTTATCATGAACATATGGATGCATATCCTTTTGTTATAACTTAAGCATGCTCATGACATCCTAACAAATCGTGAAAATAAATAGTGTTGAAACTAATAAGTCATAGCCCATGAATGTTAGGGTGTTAGCATGTGTGGTATTCTTAATGTGATATTTGAAGAACAATTAATAAATGGTACATGAGTAAACCACATATAATAAATTTTTCTATCATCAAACTTACTTGGCTTTGTGGTTGGAAACAAAAGAAGAACACATAAGTCAAAGAGTACAACCAAAAAAATGAATATGAAGGGGACAACCTCATTCCCCCTCCTTTGATATGTTTGGAGGGACAACAAAATAGCTTTTCCAAATAACACATGAGATTTTTTACTTTGTTCTCCTGATAAAATTTAAATAAAACTTGACTAAAAATTTATACACCTTTGTTATAAGACTTGTATTCTTTGATTGGAGTCTCAAAACTTTGAAATTATACTACTAGCACAAGTGTTAAACATTTTTTTTTTCCACATTTGTAAGAGATAATTTGTTTAGATGTAAAAGGTTATCTTTTTTGATTTTCCATCTTCGTAAGAATCATTTATTTAGATGTAAAATGTTATCTTTTATGTTTGGAAAAAAAAAACATACGAAGTGTTACTTTCCAATACTACTACTTGTGAGCGTTCACTCTCTCCAATTGGTCAACCAGTAAACGAACTCAAGCATTGACGATGGTTTGCCCCTACTTGGCTTTTACAAGGCTCAACCACAGAAACATTGCACTGGGACTAACTTGGTTTTAATGCAAAGACATGGGTCATGATTCAAATATAGCAAAGATGGGTTGGTGTCTTGATAATGACAAAACTGGTATGGTAGTGATTACGGGATTGTATGTCCACTTACACATTGGAGCTCTATCATGCTTGCAATCCCTACAACGGGCTTTCGATTTATCTACACATTCGACAACAATGTTTATTGATTCATAAAATCTCGTTACTCTCCTACAGGGTACGATGATGGTTAAGGAGACATCAACAATCTCTAGATCATTAAGAAAACAAGCTTCCTAGATTGAACTTCCACCATTGCAGTACATGTAAGGCAAATAGACATCGTGTTCTCCGCATTAACCAAACTTTAAAAAAGTGACTTTACATTTTTATTTATTTTTTTTGTTTCTATTAATGTGTAAACATTTTGAACCTTTATCCGTAAAATAAAAACACAATTAATAGATTTTTATATAAAGAATATTATAATCTATATTTTGAAGGCAATAAAAGTACTCTATCCTTTTTTTTTTTTTTTTTTTGTAGGTAGTGTAATGTATGAAAATAAATAAATAGATAAATAAAATAAAATTGGTCTACCCTTTAAAAATGTCAACTTTTATGTGATTTGATTTTTAAAAGTTTGAATGTTGGATATATTTCCCTTTCAATTACGACTGATGAATCGCTAAACTAAACAACACCCAAAAAATTATATTACTTGATTTTGTCTATATTTGATAGTAAATTGATTTATTATTACCCTTTCACCTTTTCTCCCTCTTTCATTCCTTGAGATCTCTAAAAATACCACCCCCACCACCAAAACAATTAATGTCATCAAAAGCACCATAGCGAGTTTGTGTCGCTGCAAAAATAAATATATATATACATAAATCTCCTTCGATGGTATGATGTTCCAATCATGAGAGTTGACTTTGGTATGATTGATGGTTGTCATTGGATGATGACACTGCATATAATAGGTCAGGGTTATGTGGCATTGCATGGTAGGGGACGGAGGAAGGGTGACATTATTCCATGGTTAGGTTGGGAGCCGGGGTTGTGTAATGGGGCTAACTTCGGTGAAAATAAAAAATCTGTGGGCGATTTAATAACTATTATGGAATCATTTACAACCCTCTTTAAAAGAGATTATTGTTTAACCGGATAAAACGGTATTATTTCATGGTAATCAAATTAATGCATTTATTCTCCACTATAATGTTTTAAAATATTTATACTCCGATATATATGTGTGTGTGAAAGTATTATCAGCAACTATATTATCAAATTTTCATGACTCTTAAAACTATAATATGAGTACCAAATATAACAATTGTTTAGTTTAACAGTACATAGAATCGTTATATTCCACATGAAGATGAGAACATTTTGCTAACATTGTTTTTAAGGACAAGGTTTGTCACGTAATTACACTGTATACTAATGCAATTCTCATAAAGTTATTCATGTATTACGTATTTACGTACTTCGTATATAGCACACACAATTTGTGTTCCTTTTTTCATGTTATTTCTACTTCAAAGTCTTTGATTTCACAAAAAGATACTTATAATATAGGTGAAAACTAAAAATAATGAAAGCAGACTTGCATCGTTAAACATGGTCAGACAACAACAACAACACCCGCGTGCAGCTATACACATCAATATATCAACAATGTAGTTAGAAATTATAGTTACTTGATGTACGTAACGTCTACAGGTTACCATAACAAAGTTTAATGATATCAAAATAATACACGTAACGTCTACAAGTTACCATAACAAAGTTTAATGATATCGAAATAATACACTGTGGCAGTGAACTCATATCGATCTTCCTATTACTATGACTTTAATCCCTTTAAACGTGAAATAAACATATAATTAATTACAGAGTACATATGTGCCTTTTACATACTTCGTATATGTTTTATTGGTTATATTTGCGTTAATATTAGCAATTTTCTTAACAAGATCAATTAAGGAAAAGTTTATAATTAACAAAGCTAAGTCTTTAAGCATTTTTTTTATTTTATTTAATTTAGTAGCTTGAATATAGACTACTATATCTTAGATTCAAACACTCGATATTTAATCAATATAAGGCCAGTACGTAGTTGGGTCGTATCAAATTTAACAAAAAAAATATCAATTAAATGTGATAAACAAATCATTGTGTTACATGTCCTTGTTCTTTATATAAACATTGCGTCCATAATGAAAAATTTGTAGTTTAATTATAAACCGAAAACACAATTATTGATAGTGAGTAATAGTATACATGCTGGAAATATCATAGAGAATTCAAGAAAGCTTAAGGAGTGTAAGAAAAAGTTTGATTAAATTCATGGCGTACTATAATTGTTTACAGTGATACGAAAGAGGGTTGAAAAGGTAACATAATCACTATAACATACACAAAATCTTTAGGATAAGAATAAATCAAAGGTATTCACAAAATAATTATACTTACCATAATATTCAAGATATCAAGAGATTATATTATCAAAATCATCAATCAGAGTGATTTTCATTGATAAATATCTACAGGTCTCATATTAGATACCTTAAAAATTAAAGATATATAAAGATATGGTAAATATATTAAGTTAGCATGTTGTGAATATGCTTGGCATTCATATGAAGTGGGAATTCACATATACGATTAAGGACAAGGAAAGTAGGGAGCCGCCAACAAGTTTTTAAGGAACTTGTAAACCGTTCACGGATCATTTAAAGCAACCACGATAAAAGGGATAACGAAAGACAATAACAATTGACCCGTGAAGGTTACACCCCATTCATAACCCATGAGATTACTAACTCCATAAGGTTCGGAACCACGAAAGGAGGATCGGGGATGATGGTACGAAGTGAGTCATGGAGTCACATTCGCCCGTATTGGCCTCTACTCGATTCTTATAGTGAAAAGTGATTTCTGCAATCTCAAAGACATG